TTGTTTCCCTCATCCTGAAAGGCTAGGAACTACCTGTACCCCATCCAAGCCTCTTTCCAATTCTAATACTTCATTATTCTATTGCCTTCTTTCTCCTTCAGAGATTCGGAACTTTACTAAAACTCAAGTGACAGTGTTTGAAGGACCAGGGAGCCAACCAGGAAGGGATGCACGTTCTATATTATACCTGGCATAAATCTAAATGTGACCGTCACAATTTCATTTTCTCCCCCCATGTTTCAGATGAATTCAAGGTACACACCAAAGTAAGAGTACTTTGTGGGAAACACTGTGAAATATCAGTATACTAAACAGCTTCGCAGAAACCAGAAAAGTGTGTATCACAGGTGTGCCGCATAACATCAGACCTCCCCAGCATGAATCCACGAAAAAGTAGGGTATAAAACTAAGCAAATGTAATACTGATTGCTAGGTTGGTTGCCACTATTCATTTATACATGTTTATTCATCTTGTAACTTGAGAACACTCACTAATAAATATTCAACACAAGGCACCAAAGACCAAGGGAAAAAATATCGGAGAGAAAAATTATATTCATCAATTACTTTTTGTTGCACTGCAAATTTGGAAGGCATGCCCACAATTCTTTTTTCAATAGATCATGCTGTTCTGGTTGTTCTTTGCCAAAACATTTTAAAAACTGTTGCCATAAAACTCCTTTCTTGCTTGAAAGATGACCATCCATCTTTCTACTTGTTGCAAAAGGACACTGGGTAGTAGAACTCAGAAAGCATTTGTAAGAACTTAGAGCACCTATGCTCACATTAAAGTTAAAACAATAAGCTGATCTCCCTTTAAAGCAGCATATTGAGTATTCAGATTTCAAAATAATTTATGTATCCTCACTGTATTACTAAGCATGTGATACAAGGGCTCTGCCAGTAAAGTTCAAGTTTTACTCTGGTGCCACTGCAAACACACAGAGAAAAGAAAAAGTAACAAGGTAACATTTTTTTTTTGAGTTGGAGTTTCACTCCATCGCCCATACTGGAGTGCAGTGGCCACTCCCGGCCACTGCAGCCTCGACTCACTGGGCTCGGGCAATCCTTCCACCTCAGTCTTCCAAGTAGCTGGAACTACAGGCGCGCGCTACCACGCCCGGATGATTTTTGATTTATTGTAGAGATGAGGTAACATTTTAAAGACTGGAGAAGTAAGGGAAACTTGTGACAAAAAGGTTCAAAACATTCCTCCAGGCCAGGCTCGGTGGCTCAGTCTGCAATCCCAGCACTTTGGGAAGCTGAGGCAAGTGGATTGCCTGAGCCCATGGGTTTGAGACCCACCCGGGCAACTTGGCAAGACCTCATCTCTACAATAAATCAAAAATTAGCTGGGCAATCCACTCACCTCAGCCTCCCAAAGGCATGGGATTACAGGCTGAGCCACCGAGCCCGGCTTGTAAGCACTTTTCTAACCTCAAGGCAAACTATCTCAAGATGGCAAGTTGGTTTTATCTCCTCTGCCAAATCCAGCCAACGAGTAGTGGCTGCCTGGAACCCAGAACTGAGCAGGATTCGAAGGCTGAATGTGAGCTATCTGAAAGTGAAGAATACATGAATCAAGTATCATAAGCCACAAATGGAAGGCATGGTGACAGACCTTATGTCCACCTTCAACTTTCTTTATACTCAACATAACACCTGTCAAATTTGGCTACAATAAAACATTTTAGGGAAAAAAGTAATCAATCCTCCACAGTACCACCAGGCTTATCTAATTAGGAGAAGAAAAGGAAAAAATATATATAATCATATCAGTCCTCTGCTCAAAAATCGGCTCTAGATTCTTAACTCCCAGAGGTTAACTCCAAGCCAGCATAGCTCAAGACCCTCACAATCTGTTTACAACATACTTCTCCAAGGCTTTCTGCACCCCATGTCTTTCCCTCCACGGTGCAACCAAACCGGCCATGTTCCTCAGCAAGCAAGTAGGACCTTAAAGTGCAGACTCCTCGCAACTTGGAGAGACCTCATCTCTACAATAAATCAAAAATCAGCCGGGCATGGTGGTGTTTGCCTGTAGTTCCAGCTACTTGGAAGGCTGAGGCGGAAGGAGCGCCGGAGCCCAGCAGGTCGAGGCTGCAGTGGCCGGGAGCAGCCACTGCACTCCAGTCTGGGTGAGAGTGAGACTCCAACTCAAAAACAAAAAAAAAGTGCAGACTCCTCATCTAGATCACCATTTTACATTTTAACCAAGCCAACTACTTTTACTTAAACAATCGTATTTTGTAGAGAAACTTTATAGCACCAATGGAAAGACAAAAGAAAAACCAACCCAATAAAAATGTCTGTTTCCCCAACACCACATGCCCTTTCATGGCACCCCACCACTTCCCCATCAGGCAAATTTCCATTCAGGCTTCAGAACACTGTTCAGAAATCACCTTTTTCTGCACTGCTTTACTTGTTCCTCAGCATCTGCTGTTTAAAGTATGGTTCCTGGACCAGCAGCATTGGCATTGTCTGGGAGCTTGTTAGAAACGCAGAATCTCAGGTACCACTCAGCTTTACGGAATCAGAATCTGCTTTGTAACAAGATCCTCAAGTAAATTATGAGCACATTAAAGTGTGAGAACCACTACCCTGGGGAACGTACCGGTCCCACCAGACTCAGCTCTTAATCAGTAAATACAGTATCTTCCCCAAAGTGCCTGGCACACAGTGACTGAGGCACTGTGGTGGGCTGCCTTCGAGGTAAACCCTTCCTTTACTCATATCCTCTATCAAGGAAGGAAAATCCACCCTCTAGTCTCCATGGCAGCCAACTGACATGGTCATAGTCAATGAGATGATAGCCAGAGCCTGCTGAGGGGGCTTCTGGAAGAATCTGTATTTCCCTAAAGACTTCCTGATTTCTTGTGTAGAATGTCAGGTGCTGCAGTTGCCATCATCAGACAACCATGAGATGACAAACATGAGAACAAAAAGCCAATAATAGCTCAAGACAATAGGGTGGAAATACAGAAACGGCCTGGGTCCTTGTTGGTTCATCAAGCCACTGTACCACCTGAGAATCATCCACCTCCAGAATTAGTGTGAGACAATTCAATATTTTCATTGCTTAAGTCACTATCATTAGGAATTTTTCTTTCTTGTGCTGAATGCATTCCTGATTGAGTAAGCCTTCAATAAACAGGAGGTGAAAGAATGAACACAGAATGAAATCTACTAAAAGTTCAGAAGATCACATTTTCAAAAGAACCTCTAAGAATCTGTTCGTGTCTGCCAAAGCATGCCTATAAATCAGTCTTTGCACTTCTAGAATTATTGACCCATTTCTGCTCACAACTTAATGGATAAAAAAAAGTGAACACAAACTCATAAGAAAGCAATGGAAGATGCTGTAGAAATGATTTTCACATTTTGGAAAAGAGCAGAAAACCAGGCCTAAACACTAGGCTATGACCATAAAAAGTTTACAATTGTAGCTACTAACAGGCAACTATAAGTAAAAGGGTTGGGGGTGGGGGAACCTACTGTAGCCAGTTCTCCTAGCCATTCTCCTTCTACTTTCTGATTTTGACACCTCTGATACTGGTCTCGTTTTTTGTTTTTGTTTTTTTTCAGTCTTTATCTCAGTCAAGTATTTCCACTCAAACTGTGAAGATAAAACAGCAGCCATTTTTTTTTTCTTTTGAGAAAAACAGAGTTGAGCAATATAAACAAAATGTAAGTTTAAAAAGTATTAAAAGCAGAGGGATCCAAACCGGCCATGTTCCTCAGCAAGCAAGTAGGACCTTAAAGTGCAGACTCCTCATCTAGATCACCATTTTACATTTTAACCAAGCCAACTACTTTTACTTAAACAATCGTATTTTGTAGAGAAACTTTATAGCACCAATGGAAAGACAAAAGAAAAACCAACCCAATAAAAACGTATCCTTTATTAAATTCTAGCTACTGTCACCTGCCAAAGGTTCTAGACTTGAGGCCTGTTCTCTCTTTATTGAAAAAAACAAAAGGGATGAGAGGTGAACAAGAGGTGTTAAAAACAGGCTAACACAAGCTGAGGCTTTCTCCTGGGCATGATCAGGAAAGATCGAGGACAAAGAAAGAATTAACCTTCTCACTGTGTGATTTCATTCTATTGAATACCACATCCACGTCCCGCCCAAAAGTCTCCCTTATACAATCAACTCGTTTTCCCCTTCTGCTTAGAATAAGAGCCCAATTCCTCAGTGTAGCCTAAACGAGCCCATGCCATCTGACCCAGCCTACCACCCAGCTCTCAAATCTCCCTCTCTCACCAGACAGCAAAGGAGGGCCCACGCGCCATATACATCCCCCAATTTAAAGTAGCCTGCCGGAACATCAACCACATCACCAGGTTTTACTTTTTCAAACCACTATCTGATATAATCTCATTAACTTACTAAAGAGTTTAATAACAAAAATAATAATAGCAGCCAATACACATGGTACTAGGTACAGTGGTACAGCTGAAGCATTTTACATATTAGGTTGAACCCTATAAACATTCCAACTTGTACGACAAAAACGATCACAATGGGTAATTCCATAGCGTTCCACCTAATATGTCAACTTGTCTGCAGCTCACAACCACCTTATGAGCGAGGGCCCAGATGAAGAAGGTGTAGCACAGAAAGGGATCCTAACTTGCCCGGGGTCACGCCGCTAGTTAAGTCCCTGAACCAGGATTTGAACTCAAGCTCAACACCCCCACACTTCAAGAATGCAAGCTCCATGAAGGCAGAGAGCTTTGTTCAAGGCAACATCGCTCCCCAATGCCTCTCACACTGGGCGTGTGCAGTAAGCGCTCGACAACCACACGAACGAACGAACGAACGAACCCTCCTTACGGTCGGAGGCCTCCGTCCCTGACCTCTTCGAGCAGCCCACGCAGAGGCCTGCCCACCCGAGAGGAAGGCAGGGCAGGAAGACCCGGGCGGGCGGGCGGGCGTCCCAGCGACCCGGGAGCAGGATCCGGCCGCGGGGAGCGGCGGCGCGCGCGGGCTCACCTTGAAGTCGCGGCTGTGCTGCGGGGTGTACTCCAGGGTCCAGAGGGCC